CTAAATTGTTTCTTTTAATTTTTTTTTCTCACACATTAAAATAGTTAAAATAGACATTTTTAATAGATGATTCATTAGAATTAATTTTTTAATTGGATTGATTTTGTTAGAATTTAATTTCTAATTTCAAATAACTAGGATTAGCTTGTAACTGAATTTAATTGCTAATTTCTTTATTCTAATTTTATTTTATGGTTAATTAAAGATTAGATCTAACCATGATTATTTTCTTTTTTTTTATGCCATCATCATTCAAATAAAATCCATGTGCTTAAAATGAATTTAGCATGACCTTTGCCCATTGATTAGTTGATCAAGTTCATCCTTGATCAATTAATTACAATTGATTACACCTTGTCCCTATAGGGTTTCAAATCCATGTGCTTAAGATAAAGTCGTAATATTCAACATTCTCTCATCTTATGAAGATTGAAGTTGATCACTAGGGTTTAGTGGTTGTTTGCCTCTGTCACTGGTTTTGTAGCAGAGAAGAAATTGAGTAGGTTCTCATATTTAGGGGGCGCCTCTAAATAGAATTCTATTGGGGAGTGTTAGGAAGAGGCATTGAACAATATAGGATTTGTTGTTTCTTGTAAGTCTAATTGTACAAAACTACTAATAATGAATTTTTCTTTCTTAGGTTGTGGACTCAGCCCCTAGACGTAGGTGTAGTTACACCGAACTGGGTAAATGATTGATTGTGTTTCTTATTTCTTTTTTGTTCCATCATTTATTAATTGTTAGTTTAGTGGTTCTGGTGTACCTTGTCGAAGCATTTTAAATCTCTTGAACTGGGTGAATACATCACTCTTTCTTTCAATTAGATAAATCCATATGTATCTTGTCAACTCATTAATAAAAGTTAAGAAATAGAAGTTACCTCCATTTGACCTTATTTCAAAAGGTCAACACTCATCATAATGAACAAGCTCCATCTTTTGCTTTAACTTCATAGACAAGTCATGTTTCAATGACTTCCTTACTTGTTTGGCTTTGCAACATTCTTCACATATCTGACTTGGCTCTTTTATCTGAGGTAGACCATACACCATCTTCTTCATGTTAAGAAGACATTGACTTCTGAAGTTCAAGTTTCCTCTATACCTGTGGTGCCACAACAATCTTTATTTTCTCAAAGTTTAAGCAAAGCATTAATGATCAAATATATTGATCTTTATCTTGAAGGTTTTTTTGTTTGCTAATGGTGCTATCAAGATCAATCTTCCTTCACTGCCATACACTTTCATATAATTATTTCCTATTTTCATATTGTATCCCTTTGCAAGTAATTGTCTTATGATTATCAAGTTACTTGTCATAAAGGGTACATATAGTACATCAAAAATGGTAACCTTTTGACCATCTTTTCTCACCACAACCATGTTTCCATATCCTTCTAATGTGACATATCTACCATCTGCAAACCTTATCATCTTATTTACTAATTCATCTACCATGATGAACCAGTTCTTGTGGCCATCAGAATCATTCCCTCTAATATGTGCATTTTGAACTTTTTCCTTTTCTTTTATCCTTGAACCCTTGTTTAGGTAACTATCTCTTGCATAGTGGCCAAATTTTTTACAACTATAACACTGCACTTCTTTCATGTTGACCTTCTTTCTTAGATTCTTGATTGACATGCCTATCTTGATTGGATCATTTTAATTCTTTGAATTCTCAACATTTGCATGACTTTTTCTCTGCTTGTTTTTCTCTTTCGAACTTTCTTGAGGAACTTTACTTGCAGTTCCTATTTAAACTCTCTCTCTCTCTCTCTCTCTCTCTCTCTCTCTCTCTCAAAGCTCTTTTTCTTCAATCTCATATCATAAGCCTCTAATGAAGCTTGACGTTCCTCTAACTTAATCTCAGGTAGGTTCTTGGACTTCTCTATTAACACCACAATATAATCAAACTTTGCAATCAAAGATTTTAACACTTTTTCGATATTTTACAAGTCATTGATTATTTCACCACAGGCCTCCATCTGATTGGTTAGCAGTACCAATATTGAGAAGAATTATGTAACTAACTCTTCTTTTTTCATTTGATTTATCTCAGACTGCTTTCTCAAAGTCTACAACTTTATTCTCTTCAGTTTCTCATCTCCACCGTACAACTTCTTCAACTTATCCCACACTTCTTTGATTGTTTTTTCTTCAATGATCTTCTAAAAACATTAGGATCCATACACTGGTGAATTAGGAAGAGAGCTTTCTCATCTTTCTTCATGTGCACCTTATGTGTAGCCCTTTAAGTATCATTTGCATTTGTCTCCAATGCAGATATGTCATCATACATGATTTCAACCACATCTTGAAATCTAAATATGACTTTCATTTATACAATCCACCTATCATAGTTTTCGCCTTTAAAAATTGGTAGATGCACTGGAAATTAATTCGATATTGTGCTCTAATTTGCCATTGAAAATAGCTTAACCGAACCTATTATCTTGATACCAATTTGTTGGAACAATCTTGTATTTCTTGAAAGTGAAGAAAGAAAGAGATTAAGTTGATTGTGAGGAAATATTGTATAAGAAATTTGTTATTGAGAGACAAGAGTTGTTATTTACAACATAAGAACATGTACTTGAACAAATATAATATGAGAATTATACATCCTCAACCAAAACAACCAAAACAACCATAGAATCAACAAACACATGAACTTGTAGCAATGTCATATTAATACCAGGTTTGACAACCAACAAGAATGTATGGATGCTAGATTTAATCCCTCGCATTCTTGATGGGACATAAATTTGAGTTGAATGGAGAACATGCCTCTCACAACTTAATTTATACATGTATATTATTTTTTTTATTAATTTCTTTAAGGTTCACTTGCAATTTTGGTCCTCTTGTTTTTATTTTTATTTTACTTTTGGTTCCCCTATTTTAAAATTTAGAACTTTGATCATCTTGTTTCATTTTTTTTTTACTTTTGATTTCCTTATTTTAAAATCTAAAATTTTGATCATATTATTTTCATTTTTTTTATTTGTGGTCTCTCTATTCTAAAATTCAGAGTTTTTTTTCCCCAATTTTCATTTTTTTTACTTTTGGTCCCCCAATTTTAAATTTTGTTTGAATTTTGGTCCCACTTTAATTTGAAACTAATTTTTAATGACGTAGCACTGGTGGTGATGAGTTGTCCGTTTCACTTTGACCATTTTTATTTCTACGTCATTATAGTTAATAATAATAATAATAATAATAATAATAATAATAATAATAATAATAATAATAATAATAATAATAATAATAATAATAATAATAATAATAATAATAATAATAATAATTTATTAAAATTAATATTATTTATTTACAATTAATAATTGTAATAGTTTATTATTTTTCAATTCAAAGAACCATTTGTTTCAAGTGTTTTTTGTTTTCAATCCTCAATTTTCAAAATCGTAAAAGCAAAACGAAACACAAAATGCAGAATGCAATAACGCAACGAATAAAATACGAATTTTACGTTTTGCATATTAAAATTAGTTTTAGATTAAAAAGGGTACTACAATTCAAAACAAAATTTAAAATAGGAGGCCAAAAATAAAAATACAGGATTAAAATTTTCAATTTTTAAATCGTCAGATAAAAAATAAAAATAAAATAAAATAATAAAGGACTTAAATTTCAGATTTTAAAATAAGAATAGCAAATAGAAAACTAAAATTGCAATTAAGTGTTTCTTTAATTATAAAAAGATTGACATTAACACTTCAATTTTTCTCCTAAAGGAGACGTCTTAGCTTCATTATGATGTTTCAAAACCAAACAATTAACTAGTTACCAAGTTCAATTGTTCAAATTTAAACAACATGTTTCTAAATAGCAAGCAAATTTTAAATAAAATAAGACATTGAGTCTTAGAATTACCATAAGATGTTATTCTTAATTGCAATATATTCAACCTGAATCCAACAATTTGAAATGAAATTGTCATTCAACATCCTTAATATGTTTTCCAAGTTGTATGATAAGACAAATTAATTAAAACAAAGCTCAAGGATATTGCACCTAAATTTCCCAGAACTCTTACCTAATACTCTGACTCCTCTACAACAAAAAATCCTCACTTTCAATGGCAAGCACATTTTTCCCAATCAACCCTAAACCCAGCTAGAAACACCACTACCACTTTTATAAAAAAAAACAGACTTACGCACTTATTAATACATAATACTTTTCTGGCTTTATTTATAAAAAAGTTTGTTTTATTGTATTTTGATAAAATATAGACCAATTGAATTTTATAAACAATATTTTTATTTATTTTATCCAAATAGATTATTTATTCAATGAATTTAAAATTAATTTTTTCTTATAAATAGTATTATTCATACTCAAATGGAAGAACGTCGATTTGTGCTACAATTGTAATCGAAAATTTGTTTCCAAACACAAAATTACATTAAGCAAGAGTGATAAAGAAATGTCTGATGTGTACGAAACACTTATTGAATCGGAAGAAACTTGTTTCCAGCCATCATTTTTCTGATATTGTCTTAATTGTTATTGGAAATACCTACAAGATTATCCAACCTAGAACTGCAAATCACCTACCTACCAAACCTATCTCAAACATTTTTGTCATGGTTGAAATGGGCATCATACAATTTTTAATGTTTATGCCCTGAAATTTTCATCACTCCAAAACCACTATTTGACATTCCTTATTACATACTTCCTTTCTATTGGAGGGAAGGTATCGTCTTATGAATAAAATAGTTGACAACAGCCCTATTTAAAAAATCTAACATAACCAACTTTAAATTAGGTTTCTTTTAAAAAACATCCAAAGAAACAAACCGAACCACATAACTGAACCGTTAACTAACCAAATCGTTCTCTTTGGTTAATGACTCTGATTATTTCTTAGTTACATAAATTGAAATTTTACAAATTAACAAAGTCACTATTGACTCTGATTATTTCTTAGTTACATATTCACACTAGAGGCCTACAATTTACGCGGATAAAATACTACCATCTCTTCAATGCCCTTTTCTTATCAATGTCATTGAAAACAATTTCCTGACAACGTACAAGTCCATTAGCTCCTCCAAAGCACAACCATCTCTCACTACCCTTATTCAAGTTCCATCTCACTTTATGCAATGCTGTCTTTTTTGAAGGAAAGACTTCAGGTATATTCCCAGAATCAAGCTTTTCATTATCAACTCCAGGTGTATTCCCATCTCTACTAATAAAAGATGTGCTTTCATGCGGTTTCTTCTTTCTGCTACAACTCAGTTTTGGTCTTTTGGGCTGTTGTTCCGGAGAGTCGCCATCACAAAGGGCTGCAACAAATTGAATGCTGGATGAATATTCTCATAAAATCAATGATAGTTAATCGTATTAGAATCACATCATAATTAGCAAGGTTTACCTAAAAACTGAGAATCGTTACCAGAAGCTTTAATCATTTGATTATTTGCACTTCTGCTCAAATTTGCCTTGGACAATAAGTCTCGGAAAGATTGAGCCTGGTGGCCTCTATCTTGCACCTTCTTCATTGGGAAAGGGGAGCTTGATATTTGAGTGTTGACAATGATGGTTGATTCCTCTTCAGATACAGACCCACATAGAAAGAATGGAGTTCGATTGCGGGGATGTTCGGCCTCCACTGCTTTAGCAGTAAGCTGAGTACATTAAATATACTCATTAATAATTATTTTATTTTGGGGCTGTGGAGAAAATTCATGTGTATAAGCATTAATCGAGGATTATGTTACAGCTACAAATTTGAGGAATATATGCACCAACTAAATGCAAACTGGAGTCCTCTCAAATTCATGTTCCTTAACCAAACGCAAAACATTTCGGCCTCACAGTTATAAGAAAACATGAGGGATATCCGTCAAGTGATCGAAAAATTTATTTCTTAATTCATGTAAAAAAATATGTATAGTTCAACTTAAAACAGTGGTATGTGCCGATTGAAATCTTGACTATTTTGATCATGTAAAGTTATAATACCATATCAGAAGAGATGCTGGTAATTGCAAGTATATCTCCAACAAGATGTTACTATACCTGATAACGAAAGGCAGCACCATCTGCTCCACAATATGCAACCATGCCTGACATGATAGAATAAACCACAACATTTAGTTAACATTAAGTAACAGTAATACACTGTTTAACTAGATAGTTTGTTTACTAAAAAAAATGACAGATGCTTTTACTCCACATATGGTTTCATAATGCAGGTTTTTCTAAACCCAGTTTTTGTCTAAAACCAACAAGATCCATTGTGATAACATCGCAGAAGAAATGCATACCAAAAAAAGTACCTGTTATCGGTGACACTTGAACACTCCAAATAGCATAAGACGAATATATAGAACCATGCAACCCTGGTTGTCTTTTTCCATTGTATATCGTTCCAGTGACAGGGAGGTCATTTGCAGTCTTCGCCAAGCTAATGGTTTTCATTGCTCCATCCTCAAAGCACATAATGATACAACTACAAAAGCATAAAATATAAATGAGTTTAACTATAATGATGATGAGATCAGGCATCATTCGATCCAATTAAAGTCATAGATTACCTTGGCTTTGACAGCCAAACCAGACTGTATATGATTCTCTGGGAAGGATTGAGGAGCCTCAGAGGACGAAATGGATTACTGCAAAAAAAATTCCATCATGATAAGTCATTCCAAAAAGTATAACATAATACTAAGGCGGAAGGAGCAAATATAAATCAATAGACTATAATAGCCATCCTTTCTAATCGAGGAAACAGAAAAGCAAACAAAGACATGCACATATAGATGATACAAAGAAATGTTGACTCTCTAGTTGACTTATTTCGCAATGCTTACACTTAGAATGCAAATGAACTAAAGAGGAAATACACGAGGATGCAATATTTAAAACGACAGAGGTATGCTTATATTGGTATTCGCAAGTCAAAAAAAGAAGGAAAAAAATGTATTCTTTAATAAAGATCAAATGCAACATAGCCATTAAAGATTTATTTTTGTTCAAAAAGAAATAAATATATATATAAAAACTCACCGTAGGTCCCAAAACTTAAGGCCTTCATGTCCTGCGGTTACTACTATGTTAGAACTCTCTGGATCACTGAATCATCATAACAAAAAATCACATCCTATTAAACACTTCAAAAGGTAAGAGGACGGTCAAAGGATGTAAATATAGCTTATTTTAGATGTGAGATATTTGCCAGTGTAATATGTCAATGCCTTGTTTATTGAAGTAATCTTCATAAAAGTAAGGGTTTGTGTCTACACCATGGAAAAAATTACAGCCTTGCAAACCACGTTTGAACACAAATGATGCTAGTTTTATTATTTCTGAAAGTAATAGAGTGAATAACAGAAATATGGCAGCTAGTTAGAGTTGATATCCTCCCAGCCTAATAATCAATCTCCAGAATGATTTCAAAAGCACACATACACATTATAAAGAAGTTAAATGATTTATCTGAAGGACTTCATTAGGTTAGGTTCTAGCTGCAGTAGTCCTTAACCAATGAATTTGATGAGAGAATACAAAAGTGAAAATCCTATGCATATATATATACAGAATATTTCTTTTATAGATACACTAAATTTCATTCTTAAAGATGAACGATAGCAGCAACATATTGTTAGAGGTATTGTTAGACCTCTTATTAGAGAACATAAGAGGAGTGAGCAGAAATAAATTATAGCAGTTATAGTTAGTAATGTACTTATTTGTATGGTTAGTTATTGTTTTTATTGGTATCAACCGTCAGTTATGGTGTCTGCCTTTAGGAATAAATAGAGGAAAGGGGAAAGTGGTTATTGGGTAGTTATTGAGTGGTTTTGGGATGGAGAGACCGAGCTCTCTAATTCTTGGAACAGGGAGACAAAGACTCTTGAATTTCTTGGAGGAAACTGTTGTATCTATCCTTGATTTTCCTTTAGTTTATCTCTTGTAATTATATAAACCAGGTTTCCTTTTTAATCAAATTCTGGCCACTGTTAACCAGAATTATTTAATAAACATCAGTATTCAATTCAGTTTCCTAGTTATGAACTTATGATTACAAATTTCTAACACAATCAATGCAATCAATCACATCAATCGTGGCTGAGAAGGTTTAACTATTACTAACCCTTCAAAAGGAGCCCATGCAACTGTCCTAATAGGAACTGTATCTCCACCGAAACAAAGTATAGGCCTTGTATCTGCAGATATACAACCGAGTCAATAGACAATAATTTATGATTCATATTTGGTAAATATATTTCTCAGCACAGCCCCCTTCCCTAGCAGGCCCAACTAGGATAAGAACACATTAAGTAGCAAAATTATTACCATCACATTTAGATGAAGAATTTGTAGAGAATTTCCATAGAGCAACCTAAATATAAAACAAATTATATTAGTAACAACATACATTGTTTAATAATAATACTGAAAACCATAACAGATTTAAGATATAGAACTGTTACATAACGGTGTAATAAAAAAGATAAAACACAATAAATATAATGCTTTCACTCTTTTCCTTCATGATAAAATATCATAAACAATTATATTACCTGACTAACCAACAGTTAAGGGGCTCAACCAACATCTAAGGGGGTCGGCTACGTGGATCCCTTGACACCATAATCCACTGTCAGGTATTGAGTTCAAAGATAGACAGACCATTATCACCAATCCTCTCTTAATTGATTGACCTATAGTTTGTTTTGAACTGTCACTATTTCTTGAGCTATCCTCTATTTTATATCTCATGAGTTATATAATTGAGACCCCCATTTTCTGCCTAATTTAATGGTTGTATTTCAAATCCTATATCTACTTGTGTAACTGCCCATCCTGTGTAATATTCTTATGACTCTACAACATTGAGTTTATTTTCTTTCTGCTTTCATTTCCCAACATTCAATCCACATACAACATTGCAAGCTTAAGTGGTATTTTTTATTGTAGATCGCACCCAATAATTCAATGATGGCATCCACCTTACATGGACTCTATGGTGGATTACTGCCTATTATTTTGTATGGTGGATTCAAAGTACACAAGGCATGAGACTTGAGTTATTACATATTTTCCAAATTGCAACTCCAAATTTGGATATGTGTGTTTCTTGCTAAACTTGCATTCCAGGTACACTATTTTATTTAGGAAGAAACTGTTTCCAAGGCTTGTTTCACACCTCAAATTTTCCATTTATTTCTTCCGTTGCTCCCCAACTAAGAGTATACCATCTAAAGAAAAACATATAGTTGTGACACCTTTTGGATATGTTGAGTAAGAATGTCTAAAACAAAGTTAACCTTTGTTGCACAGCTACAATTATTCAAAAATCTATTGCATTCTCGCCCTGTGTTCACATGCTAGCCATGATGTGACCCTCTCAAACATATCTTTGATTTATCAAAGGAAAACAATTTGAGTTCCTTTCTTCGCTAGTTTTCCATATAACCTAAGTACACATTATCATGTGCCTTTTTTTAAATCCATGAAAACTCTAGATCGTTTTTATTCCCCGAGTGCCTCTCCACCAGTTTTCATAGCAAGTATAAAGCTTCCATGGCCGGTCTCTCAGACATAAAACCAAGTTCACATTTACTAGTCTGTCTTTCTTGTCTTTTTTATGTGACAAAGAGGGCAAAAAGCCCAAAAAACAATAAAAACTATTAATGACCTGCAGATACGAAACTCCTATATGATCAACAAAAAAAAAGATCAAACTCAGCTCTGCAGGGCAAGTATTGGTCCATGTTTTAGCACCAAGTTTGCCAGCGCATCCTGCAAGGTGTCTTTCTTGTCTTAATCACTCTCCCTAAAGCTTCATAATATGACTCAAGAGCTTAATCCCTCTATAACTTGTAAGGATTAATAAGTCACCTATGTTTTGTACTTCTCCATTCATTCAACATGTTAGATTTCATAATCTTGTTAAACAACTTTGTGAGCAATCTTTTTCCTTTCTCTCCTAGATCCTTCCAACAGTCGATAGGATCAAAATCCAGTCCAATTGCCTCGCTATTATTCTATATATTAGAAAGGTAGAGAGAGTGATGAATTCAGCATCTAGAATATTCTAGAACAGTCTGTTATGATTGATCAGAAAATGGTTGTTACAGTGAGGGCTAGGATAGCACTAGATATAGGGGACATGTGACTAGCCATGTTAGTTAAAGCTATGAGGACTCAACATAGAGTTTGTTAAAGCGCTAACAACTATGCGAACTCAGCATAGAGTTTGTTAAAGCACTGACAGCTATGCGTACTCAGCATAGAGTTTGTTACAGCTTGCAAGCTAACCTAATCTGTGTTTCTTAACAAAACAGTTACAGACATGGTGAATGCAATCACTGCATTTACTCTAGTACTATACAGTGCTTCTTTTACTTCAGATTCTCAAATTAACTGGTAGTAGGATTGTAGGAGTAATCTTGATCCTCTTCCCTACCGTTTAGTCTATTTGAGTCCAAAGAAATATCACGTCCTTCATTAAAAACATAAGGAATACCTTTTCCACCTTTTCTCGATGTCTTGTTCCTTGGCCATTACTTTTTCCCTCATCACCTTTAAAGCACCTTCCCTGATTCAATTCTCTTTCATTTCTTTCCCTATAGCTCTCTTTGACCACTCTGCTTTTGTGTAGTATAAGATAAGATGTTGCTCTCTCTAAAATAAGTGTCTGTCATAGTTTAAAGCTATAGAAAAGTCAAAGACAGTGGTTTGGCCCTCTTTACTTACTTCCTTACATACCCCATTGACATTTGACACCATGAATATGATACCCACTGGATGCCTAAACACATGACCATTTATATCACCTCTTAGAGAAATATTTTTATTTAGAGGTATCTCTTTGAATAAAGCTTTCTTCCAATAAATTAACCTTGTGCTGCTCTTCTATCCCATATTACGAATGCAATGTAAATTTTATTTCAGAAAGGCAAAGAAGACATAAATCAGATAGCATTGGGGAAAATTATACCGTTCCATCATGGCAGCCAGCAAGTAAGTAATCATGAGGGGGCGTAACCGACCACTCCACTGTCAAAGGAATGCTGTGTAACAAAAGAACAGAGTAAATTAAACAACATAGCCAGTCTAGAAAAACATATATTAAAAAGCATTGTGTACAACACATTCTGCAGTTGCATGAATTTAACCACCATAAGCCAACATGTCAATCACTCTACTCCAATGAGCCACCTTTTTTAAGTGATTATAATTTTTAACATTTTCCAGAATTAATGATGGGCAGAGAGTTATAAACAGAAAATTCAATTCGGTAAGGTAGAGACAGAGATCTCAACATTGCACTTTCTTTTAAAATTTATATTTACAAGCTTTCTTAAGCTGGAAATTTAAATAAAACTAACATTTCCTTCAGTAATCAATTGCAGCGCACAGTTCTTGCATACCCAGTCAGAATGCAAATTTTTGTCCCATTATCACCAATAATTTAAGAGTTGATACTATATACAAATTGTATTCTGAAAATATGAATTCTTCATAAAAAATATATATAGATGAGTGCATGTCAACGTTTTTTGAGGTTTAAAATATAACAAAATTCAAATTTCTTTTTGACCATTTTAATGTAGAGGGTTTAATGTTCACCGTAGTTAGAATGAAGGAGGAAAAATACCTCTGTAAGCTACCACGCTTCAACATTGAACATTTGAATACAGGCTCCAATCTTAGAAAACGAGGATCGGTGCTTTCGATATGCGTATAAATTGCTCTCACTGCATGAGGAAGGGGAACCTCCCACCTGAAATTGATACAAGAATTATGAAGCAACATCAAAAGTCATCCAAGTCATAATGCTCCTCAAAGTCCCAGATAGTTAAAAAAAAGAACTTGCTTTTGTTGAGATAAACCAAACACTGAAACTTTAATGAACTTCTTTTAACAATTATCAACGGCAATGGCAGTGCTATGATAGGGACTTCAGGATTATGGGGTGCCTACGTACCTCATTGAGTCAGATGCTAGGTGACTATTATGTTGTTAATCTCATATAGCATTGCAGGATAGCCACTAATGGAAAGACAAAAAACCAGTGTAAAAGGATCCATATTTAAATTTATACCCTTAAAAAAAGACAACGGCTGCTGACGGTTTGAGGAATTTATCTCTGAAATCCTATTAGCAGACGCGATAACGGTTTGGGGCCGCAGTTTCACCGGAATTAGCGGCCTCTACAGCTGCTATTGCAGACGTCGGCTCACACGACAAATGTGTCACGCTGAACCCTACCACTGGTAGGGTTATAGCGCACTATTGACAACATAGCTAGGTGGAATACTTAAGTAGCTCTCCTCTTAATAAATAGTTTCTAAAGGAGAATTTCCAAAGTGCTTGGGTGCTTAGCATAGTTCTAGGTGGGGGAGGAAAGGGGGGGTGAGATCTTATTTTGGATTGTGTGACAAAGGAGTATCTTTCACTGAGGGAGTTGGGTCTTTGGAACTTGTAGGGATTTCTTTTTAAAATCATTGCAATCTGTCACTTGAGGTGCTATTGTGGGCTACTGCAGCCAATTAGATATCTGTGGCTAAATTTTTGCATTTTCTGTAGATAAGAATAAAAAACACAGAACTGGACAAACAAAAACAGTGAACTCTGACTATTGCAACTATTTCCACATCCACAGTGAACTGACCATTGCAGCCATCTCAATAGTGAACATTAAACCTTGCTGAATCTACATGAAAAGGATCAGTTCATAACTATTGCAACTACTAACTGGTACAACAATATTGTTTCAGGTTTAGCCTTTTACAAGAAACTATGTAACTTTACATACAGATTGGGTGCCATAACAGGATAACAATGGAAATACACCAAGGAGCAACTAGCTTAATAAACAACATTTTAATCTTCTAAGTGTAATTTATCATAAACATTGGCCTGGGTTTACTTTATGATAAACATTGGCCTAAGAAAGCACTTTTTATGCTCCATAGATTGAGTCACAATTTATTCAAATTTCAAAATATACCAAAAGTCAATCCTAAGTCTCTTTTAAGTAGTTGTCTTTTGTCCATTATGTCTTGTTCAACCTTTTAGGAGAGGTCGTTATGATACAGACACAGTAAATATAATACAATGATTAGAATATTATTTACTTAAAATATCCAAATTTCAAATACCTCAAATCTAATAACATGATAGTTCTAACAAAAGAAAAATAAATCATTCGAGTATCACAAAGAAGATCAATAGAAAAAGGAGAAAGAGGCTCAAAACATCTTACACTTCCAGAGATCCATTGCCCAACAAGACAGCAAGATAGCCCATTCGATGGTTGCATGAGGAATCAAAATTGTTAAGAGGCCGCCATTTGACATCCCATGCCACCTTTCCATTATGAGCCAGACATGACACAAATTTTGGCAATGCTACATTTTGTGGAATGGGATATGTAGATGCTTGAGGTTCCAATACAGAGCTACCATGTGATTGATGGTCTTCCTCCTTCACACACTGATTCAATAATGGCCTACTTGCATCTTGGCTATAGCTTCTTTCCATGTGATTAATATCCAACCTACTCCTTGTAACAGGAGTTTCTGAATCGCATGCAGAAGCAACTTTCTTGGCATTCTTTTCCTTTGTATTAGAAAACTGTTGCGAATGATTCTCATCAGAATTACCATGAACTACATCCTGAGAAATAAATTCGGCTGAATCTGGAAATTCAGAAGCAAGAGAAACAAATTGGTTCTCACAATTTGGATCACTCGCTGTTACTTCTTTTGAATTCTGTTTGGGTCTTCCTCTAGGCCTCTTAATTGGTGCTGATTTTGTTTTCAAGGTTTTATTTCCTCTAGGCCCTTTTTTACTCTTGTATGTAATACAATGTGTTTCTTCGTTGTTTACATTATACCCATTTGGAGCAGGAGTTTCTGAATCGCATGCAGAAGCAACTTTCTTGGCATTCTTTTCCTTTGTATTAGAAAACTGTTGCGAATGATTCTCATCAGAATTACCATGAACTACATCCTGAGAAATAAATTCGGCTGAATCTGGAAATTCAGAAGCAAGAGAAACAAATTGGTTCTCACAATTTGGATCACTCGCTGTTACTTCTTTTGAATTCTGTTTGGGTCTTCCTCTAGGCCTCTTAATTGGTGCTGATTTTGTTTTCAAGGTTTTATTTTCTCTAGGCCCTTTTTTACTCTTGTATTTAACACAAAGTGTTTCTTCGTTGTTTACATTATACCCATCTGGAGCAGGAGACTCAATAGAATTTTCTTCAAATTGAACAGTACCAGATGGTATGTCTATTACAGTTGGATTTTTTTTCGATCTTCCTTTTCTCCTCTTGTATGTAATAGGATGCATTTCTTCATTGTTTTCAAGATTTTCATTTGGAGCTGGATTTTTTTCCGATATTCCTTTTATCCTCTTGTTTGTAATAGGATGCATTTCTTCATTGTTTTCAAGATTCTCATTTGGAGCTGGATTTTTTTTCGGTCTTCCTCTTTTTCTCTTGTTTGTAATAGGAAGTATTTCTTCATTTTTTTCAGTAGGATTCTTTATTTCTGTCGATTTGTCATTTGTGCCTGTGTCTTTTTTAGGTTTTTTTCCCTTCTTCCCGGGGAGAGAAGATACTTCTTTGTTGTGTTCTTTAATACTTAGAAGACACCATATTTGCACAGCACCTCTGCCACTAAGTGGGGCACCCATTTTGTGATAAGATGAACCAGGTGGATGAGCCGCAACAGCAATGAACTAAACCAAGTATCATAAAAAGGTCATTTAATGCACGAGAATTGCAAAGAAAATGAAAATTATTTCCTACTTCCTAGTCTGGAGCAAAGGTAAGTGCAGAGTTTTACTACATATCTGAATATAGGTGCAGGCACAATAAGAAAGCAGCCAAAAAAGTATATCAAATAGGTATGCATATGGAGTAGGTAATATGTAGAACACTGAAGAATTTTAAAATAAAATTTCTGGACTTAGTTTTGTGTAATCACTGCAACCTGTTACCAGTGTCTCCTGTGAAATTGGTACTATACTTTCATATTATTTCTGTTTTGTATTTCTTACAGGAGAGGAATAGGTTATATATATATATACATGGAAAATCCTATTTCTAATTATGACCAAATCATGATAACTAACAATTAATAATTATATTCCTATTATAGTTCCTGAAATCTTGTTGATTGATAGCTAACGCCAACATCTCCAACATTAACTAACCAGAGGAGTTAGGTAAGTCAGGTGGCAATTTAAAATGGTGGTGCCTAACTATTAAATTAAGTCCATGGAATCTAACTTTTGGCATAAAGAAAATAGGTAATGTAGAACATTAAAGAATTTTAAAATAAAATTGTTGGACTTGGTTCTGTGTAATCACTGCACAGTGTTACCAGTGCTCTAACATTAACTAACCAGAGGAATTAGGCAAGTCAGGTGGCAATTTAAAATGGTGGTGCCTAACTATTAAATTAAGTCCATGGAATCTAACTTTTGGCATAAAGAAAATGGGTAGGAAGGTGGTTTTTTTCCTCTTCTTACAGCTACTGGTGACAAATGCAGCATAGTACTGACACAAATTCAGCTTTCTACTTCGGCAAAAAATGTGAACATCAAGAACACCAAAAAAGTTTTTTTTTCCAATAGGCAGGGTATAGCTACATGAATCAAACAACATTATAATGACTCTTAAGTCATTTATAGTGATAAACCATTTCAATCTAAAGGCTTTTAACAGTTAGGAATATAGTTTTTCTAGACCTCTATACCTATAAATATAAGAATAACTTCCATCTGATCAACACTCATTAGCACACTATCAAACTTCAAATAAGCAATCACCCTCAACACGTGAAACATCACACTCAGAACCATCAGAAAGATAGAACGCACTGTTTATAGTGCATTCAAACTTTAAAGACTTTCCCCAAGCAGCAATAAAACAATAAAAAACACTATTATTAAATGTGCAATACATGTCTACAACGAAGAAAGAAAACAAAGTACCTCGCATTTAATTGAACAATCTGACTCCCCGTGCATCCTAGGACACCAATCTAATGCCCATACAGAACCACCAACATTCATCACAAAGTCTCTGCTACAACAAAATTTTAAGTGTTTAGCCAAGTTAAACAATAATCCGCGACAAAATACTTATTTATTGGCATGTTCAACGAAAGTACAAACATAAACTTAAACTCCATGGAAATGTCATCGAATAATCCACAACAAAGCAAGTTAATATTTAAGCCATACCTGGAATCTTGAGATTCCGCATCCCCAAATAGTTCCTCCTTTTCTGTATCATACTGAAAAGAACACACAATGATAATGTCTAGAAAGTCTAATCATTAATAATTATAAGTTATAACTTGAACTTAAAAGCAAAATAGATTCTATAACATACACGCCTGGCAAGCAAATAAAGTAGAATTAAGTATAGGAGGACTTGTACCTTATGAACAGCGGCAGATGAAAACTGAGGTAAGTTTATGTCTTCAATATTATTTCTCTCATAACACTCAGAGCTCCCAAGTCCATAAGTAAACCTAATGTTTTTAGATGGATATTTAAAATCTCTCCATGCTCTGCACATATTTAATGGTCAACCAAAAAAAGAAATTAAGGGGTTGTTCTAAAAATTATATAGTCAATTCAGTTCACGAAAACAAACAATTTCAAAGTTTATTTTATTTTAATCCAACTTTCTCGTCGTCCTTCAATTAAATATTGGATTCAATTGACATAATTGTAGGAACCACTAAGTCATCCAATGATTAATAAACATTCTAAGTTTCTCCAGTTTAAATTAATATTAAAATGAATTAGATAAAAAGTGACTTTATCTAAAACAAATTTCAACCAAACTATGTTGAAGTTAAAACTAGTCTCCAACAAAACTAAATCCATACAATTAACTTATTATATCTTAAAGACAATTCTAAACCTGCTGTCAAACTGCCCCTAAAAACATGAGATAACAAACAAACAGCATGGCCGTTAGTGATACAAACAAACAAAAAAACAGTTACATGATATAAATCACAGTTGTCAATCCAGAGCATCCTAGTCGATACATATTAATCAATAATATAACAAAATCACATTGTCTGAGAACAAACATATTGTTAATACAACAACACCAACTAAGCCTTATCCCACTAAATGGGGTCGGCTACATGTATCAACTTCCGCCATATTGTTCTATCGAGAGCCATACTTTTATCCAAATTGTTACACAAAAGATTATGACTTAAGGGCAAAAAGAATTCAAAAAACGCATGAAACAGTTAGTTCTTTACAAGCCATACCTTAAGAAAGTGACTGAAGAACTCATTCTCTTGATCTCGCTTTGCTCAACATTAGCATTGCGTTCTTCTTCCCCACAGAGTTTAGCAATGGTTTCCATGTCATGGAAGAAATTCTCAACAGAGAAATCAAACAGAGAAACCCTAAGGTTAGAATCACCGCTGGTACTACTACCACCACCGTGATTGTTTCGCACTGTAATGGAATCATCAGCAACAGCAACAGTTTTGCTCTCTTTAGTTGCCTTAGTCGATAAGTTCTCTTCCGCCTCTTCCATTCCTCTCTTGTTAGCAATTGCAGGGGAATTTTAAAAATTTCCGGAACCGAAATTCAAACCCTAGACCAGCTCTATTGCCGTGATACCTTTATGAAACCAAATGATGTTTACTTAACCTAAGTTGAAAATTTAAGATAAATTAATTAGCACTAATCATAAATATTATTCACCCTCTATACGCTGACAAAATAAACTGAAATCACTCCAGAATTAACCATTAACCATTTTCAGTTCACTTGTAAGCATTTGAATCATGAATAAAGCTACACTGGTTCACATGATATATACATAAATAAAACATACTATATTTTTACAAAGAAAAACATAATACACAGTGCTAACCGAGTGGGGAAAACGATTCGAGTGAGGGAGAGAGATTGGTCGTTCACGGCGGAGAGAGAAAACGATTCGAGTGAGGGAGAGATACTGGTCATTCACGGCGGAGAGAGAAAACGATACGAGTGAGGGAGAGACAATTATGAATTAGGGCTTTTATTCTGTTTTAAAAATAACCGCATTTGTAATTGACCGGCCGGGTTCGTATAACCGGTTCCGGATCAACGGTTCCGAGCAGTTTTTTCGCGCTTTATTTCCGGTTTCTCTTAGAAATAATAATTAATGCGGATTTGTTAAAGCAACTTATGAATTTATACGGTATTTTTTGTGAAAATTTTCTTTCCATTACAATTATCTATTAATATTATTTTTTAAGTGGTTAAAATTAAAATTAAATTATTTAAATAAATCAACAGTTATGATTATCTGGCCGTGTGAATAATTTTTACGCTATTAATGTATATCAATTAAATTCAAATGTTAATGATTCATTTTCAAAGACACTTGTAAAAGAAAAAATAGTTCAAAAATAAATTTTCAAAAATTTTGCACTATGTACTTACTCTTTAATCATAAATATCAACTATCTATTCATTAATAAAATATATAACAACATCATAATTTACCCTTACTAACAAAATACAGTATGCTAACTGAAATGACTTTGTAGTAAATAGCATATTTCATTTTATAGATTCAACTAATAAAAGAGTTGTGCGAACGCGCGATTAATTTGAAATGTACTAAATAAATAAAAATAATATATTAAGAAAAAATTATTAATAATAAATACTTGACTACAAATAAATTAGACATAAAAGTTCTCACATAAACATCATTAATATAAATAACATTGACCAAATTGTTATAACTTTTATCAAGTTTGATTAATTTATATTTAAAAACTTAAACTTCAAAACATCTCAGACGCGAAGGTTGTTTATGCTGCACAAAACATCCATCATATTCCAATCTTTGTCGTTTTTTTTTTCTTTTTGATTTCCATTTCAAAATAGTACATCATACTCCATTTCCTTGAGTCATATAGCACAAGCTCACTTTAGACTAAAGATATGATGTATTGAACAAAGTCAACGTTTAAAGTCTGCAAAAAAGAGCATATAAAAAATAATTCTTACCCTTCGACTTACTTATTGTTCTGGACTGGGTCGACGCTTAACTCACAACCAAGCAAGCCCAAGCCCCAAAGAGGTTGGGCCTAAGAGTACCACGCTAACGGGCAGGATCCCGGTCGAGCACAACATCTCCCCGTCGGGCATAGCCCGACGGCGGTCGGGCAGGTCCCTCGCTTCCGACCAGCCAACCTCCTTCTTCCCCATCGTCGGGCAGGACCCTCGCATCCGACCAGCCACCTCTAGCTGCCCGGGGAACTCCTCGGTCCTTCCCCCATGTTCCTCACGCAGGGACACGTCATAAAGTAACTACCCACGTTCTAGAGATTCAGTCTTCCTCCTCCCGGATAGTGCGGAACAGTTACCCTAGGGTGAAGACCACGTCCTGGTCTTCACGACGCCATGTCATTCCTAGTAGTTACTAACTTGGGCCTGGCAGCCCAGCCCAGTGCTAGGTAATAGTTGGCCCTGCGCTGGGGGCTCACTATAAATACCATCTTCACTAGAGGGTCAGATAACTTAACTTTCTTACTCTTTATCTATACTTGCTTTCACTCTGCTCGTCACTTACTTTGGCATCGGAGTGTGTTTCGGGTACACCTCCTCCTCTTCCATACCTACGGTGAACAGCTAGCAGATCAGCGACGCGTGACAGGTCATTGACTCCCTTTTGGTCAGGTACGACTAGTGGGGCCGTCTGTGGAAAATCTAAGCTTCCTCGTTCCTCCAAGAATAGAACCAAAGCTTCCTCTTTTCAAATTTTGAGATCATGACTAGCCCACGCCACGACGACGGTGTTCTCGGCTCCGCCTTCACCCCGGTCACCAACGGCGATAACCCGCCGGGGACCTCTCAACCCCATGAGACCGACCACATGGACGCCTAGACTGCCTCCCCCTAATCCGAGGATGTGGCGCATCACGTCGTTCCTCGGGCGAGAAGCCCAACAGTTTTCCAGCCCATTCTCACACTAGCCAGGGCAGACCCGGCGATGGTTACCCTCTTCGCATTCATCAATCAGACGAACCAGATGTTGTTCCAGCAAAATGAGCGCATCGGCGCGCTGGAACACGATACCTCATCCTGCTCTCCTCCGCGGGGAGATCAGCGCGGGAACTGTCGGAGCCTCTCTCCCCAACCACGGGGGCGCCGATCACAGCTGGAGAGGCCCCAACTAGTGGTCTCCAAGAAGCGAGCAAGGTCACTGCCCCCACAAGAAGAGGCGCTCCCCGGATCTGAAGGCGAACAGGCCCGAGGCCCCGGCCAGAAGACTGAGGGTGCGTAATCAACCTCCTCGACACAGGTCATCACCGCCTCGATCCCTCATCTGCAGTGACGAGGACGACTATAGAACCCCCTATCACGGGAAATCATGGCGACCCCCATTGCCCACGAGATGGAGAAGTCGTCGGTCCTCTCGACGTATGACGGCACCTCGGATCCAGACGACCACCTGGAAGACATTGAGGCTATGCTCGACTACAGGAACGTCCGGGGAGCCATCAAGTGCAGACTCTTCCCGAAAACACTGAGAAAAGGCGCCATGACATGGTACAAAATCCTGGAGCCTGAGTCGATCATGTCGTGGAGGGTCTTGAAGGACCTATTTTCACGACATTTCACGGCCTCGAGACGACATCCGAAGACGGAGGCCACCCTGGGAGCGATCATCCAGGCCCCCGATGAGCCTCTCAGGAACTACATCGAGAGGTTCACAAGGGAGGTGGTCCAGGTAACGACTTCGAACGAGATGAAGCGTTACTTGATGGAGCAGGGTCTGCACTGAGACTCCAAGTTCTACGAGGTTGTGGCCATCCAACGGCCAGACTTCCTCCAGGATTTCTTCGAGAGAGCCCGTCATTACATCCGGTTCGAGGAGACGGAGGCCGCCAACACCGCCCGTGACACGCGGAATAGAGAAACCCCCCGCGGATCCCGAGAGGAAGAGGCCTCAGCCCACCGACACGGAGGAGATCGGCGACGGGAGGACCGACCCCGAGAACCCCGCGAGCAGCGGGGCCCCGCTGGCTGTTTCACAGAATACACGGCACTAGTCGCTTCCCGCGAGCATACTGGTTGAGTGCGTCAATTCAAAATTTGTCCAAGGAGGTGTTCGCTTCCCAAAACCAACACCCAACAAAGCCAATATGGACAAATCGAAATTTTGCTGCTTCCACCGGAGTCACAGGCACGTCACAGAGGATTGCATCCACTTGAAGGATGCGATCGAGATTCTGATCAAGGACGGGCACCTGAAGAGGTACACCCGGGGAGGAGACCCCCCATGGAAGGAGGTTCCCGAGGCTAAGAAAGTCGAGGACCTTCCTCCTCTCAACAACGATTCCGGCCTACAGGTAGCCCTTAGCGTGGGTCAACTTGAGGATTGGTTCGCCTTGAGGGAATTCGGCCTCCCTGTCGAGCTTCAACTGCCCGAGGAGCCCTTGCGCCCCACCAGCCGGTGGGAATATTTCCCCAGGGCCTTGGTCATCCCGGGCGGGACAACAAGCAAGCTCTCGATCGGATCGATCAAAAGGAAATTCGACGAGCTGATGAGCAACAGCTCCAGCAAGATGAGCATGCTCGACAAGTTCCGAGGTCGATCCAATCTGATCACTTTCTATCTCGAGGAGCTCTGATCGCGACTTTCTATGTCTAATACAACCTAACTGCAAGTGCACAGTCTATCGCATAGTAATAATAGATATCGATCTCATAGGGACTCGTAATCAAACTAGTGTTCTCGGGAGTTACCAAGGTTAGCTAGGTAGATAATGTTTGAGGGAATAAGATTGTCACTAAAGGGAACTAAGAATGTTAATTAAATTATAATTAAGTGAATCGATATGCAGTAATTATGTTCTTCGGGGATTTGACAAGTTACCGGTATACGAACTATTTTTCAGAGTTTATTTAAGCAGAAAATGGTGATCTGAAGACTCTCGCCTCACGATGGTTATTGACGCTAATCATAATTCTAAGGGCCAAACGTACGCTTTCGTGTCCCATTCGGGGTCAAAATTAATTTTTGGAGATCTCTAAGTTCTAATTCATTTTAAAGTGTTTTCGCTGTTATTAAAATGAATGACTAGTATTTACTATCTGGTCTTGCCGCAGCTTTCGCTTGTTGGTTCGTACCTTAATTAATTTCCCACTTTCGTGGCAAAACTACTTTTAAATAAGTTCTCGCTTTCGCGACGAAGTTTATTTAGTAAATTAATTTTAAACACTCAGACCATAAACGACTTTTGAAAAAGACAATTTTCAACCGGTTATTATCAAATCCCTTCCGAATTATTATTACATATCGATCACTTTGATTTAGCTAGACATGGATTTGGGAAAAGTAAAACATAGATAAAAACAATAAATAATAGCATGCATCATAATAAAAACTGGAAATACGATTGAAATGAGAAACCTGTAAATATTCCAATTGACCTTTGGGCAGATCCTCCACAAATGTTGGCAGGATTCTGATCTTTATGCCAATTGATCGTACAACGGAAACAAGAATTATAGAAGAAATGAAAG